GGTAACTCTGCCTGAACGCTGGGCAGGGCACTCTAGGGTTGTAGTTTTTTCAAGTTGTTACCCATGTTGGGGTGAGGTTTCTGTGATGCAACTGCTAAGTGTCACCCATGCTGTCTGTAATTCCTAACACAAGCTCCCATAAGTAGCTCCAGGACATCACTGCTGCATCCGGCTAGACTTGGGTGTTAGAATGTCTTTGGTCGTTTCCCTATCTGGCCTAATGGGTGTTCTCATCTGCCCTGAAAAAAGTCACGACCAGGTGTTGCTGAGCCACTGGTAGTAATTAGATCTGTTACTAAGGCCCATGGAAGTCAGGAATTCTATCTGCTACAGATCTAGGTACTAGAGCAGGGTCTGGCACACAGTGTGCAGTTCAGCAAGTTGAATAGTTAGTTGTAGCCCATTGTATTGATGTGGATGGACAGATGCCTGTCCGTGTGTGTGTCACAGCAGAGAGGTGTCAATCAACAGTACCATCTGTCCTGTACAACAGTGTTAACAGGAGAAGGGAGTGCCGTGCAGTTCATATATTTTTTTTTTATCAGAACTACTTAAAAGTATTTTGTCCTGTCATCTCACTGATTCAAAGAAATACTGCAGTGATTGTAATATTTTGGGAGCTTTGTTTTCAGAGAGGCCTTCATGTAATTTAAGCTGGCCCTGAATTTGTCACATTGCAGCATGATCTTGAACTTGTCTCTGTTTCCAAAGTGCTGGGATTAGAGGCATGAACCACTATGCCCAGCTCCTAATTTGGCATCCAAATTCTATATTCCTAGACATTATGTTTGTAATGCACAGAGCTATATACAAATATTTTCTTAAAATTACTCATCTTACCTTTTGGTTAGAAAATATGATTACTTATGTCTTTCCCCCAAACTACAGCTATAAAGAATAATTAATATTAATTTTTAATTTCAAAATTATGTATTATTTACTTACTGGACATGCAATAGGTCAGAAGACCACTTGCAGGAGTTGGTTTTGTCCTACTATATGGATTTTGGGGACTGAACTCAGGTCTTCAGGGTTGGTGGCAAGCACCTTTACCCACTGCGCCATCCTGCTGGTCCCTGTATTTCTCTTTTGAGTCTGAGGTCTTACTGTGTTGTCCAGGATGGTGTTAGAATTACTGGGCTCAGGCATTACAGACACATACACAGACCTGGGAACACACAGCTCTAAATGGGATGTCAAATCCATCCACTCAGAGCTCAGGGAAGCCCTGGAGGGAGGAAGAGGAGGAGGAGGAAAGAGTGTAAGAGCCAGAGAGAATGGAAAACACCAGGAGAATGGACCCTTAAAATCAGTGGAGCAAAGCTCACATGAACTGAAGCTCACAGAGCCTGAAGCAGTAAGCACCAGGCCTGCACAGGTCTGCACCTGGTCACCTCTGCCTATATTATAGTTTTCAGTTTAGTGTTTTTATGGGACTCCTAAGTGTGTGACTGAGTAGGTCTCTGATTTTTGTGCCTTCTTTTGGGGGCTCTTTTCCTTTTTGCGCTTTGCCTTATTCAGAAATAGTTTTTGTATCTTTTATTTTGTTGTTATTGCTTAGAACTCTTTTCTAATGAGAGACAGAAAAGAGGGGGATCTGGATGGGAGGGGAAGAGGGAAGGAACTGGGAGGAGTAGAGGGAGGGGAAACTGTAATCAGGATATATTGACTGAGAAAAGAATCTATTTTTAATAAAAGGAAAAAAAAAGGAAGGAAAGAAGGAAGGAAGGAAAACTTACTGGGCTGAACTGTGCCTCCTGTCGCAGCTCTTAAGCAGTTAGGCATACAGGCACGTGCCAATGTCCCTAGATTATGAACAGATTTAAACTTTTGCTGTAAGTATTACCTCTAACACCCTGCACATGCTCTGTGCCTCCTACTGAGCCGTGCCACCAGCTAGACTTTTTTGTTTTCAAGACGGTTTTTCTGTGTAGCCTTGGCTGTCCTTACTTTGTAGACCAGATTGGGCTTGAACTCTCAGTGATCTGCCTGCCTCTGTTCCTCAAGTGCTGGAATCACAGGCATGCATTAGCATGCCCTGCACCAGCTAGACTTTGGAGTACTCAAGGTAACAAAATAATTTCAAGTAAATAGTTTTGTGGGCCCTCACTGTCTTCATTGCCTTTTCTTGGCATTTTAAATTTTACATTGTAGCCTGACATGGTGGATCCTGAACTTGTGAAGCAGATGCAGGATTGTGAGTCTGAAGACAGCCTTGGCTCATCATTAGAACTTTTCTGAGGGAACAACACAAAGTGTTCTTACAGTGCTCTGTTCAACACTATCTTTTACTTCTGATCTTTCGAGGTGGGGTCTCTCATAGAGCCCAGATTGACTTTTTTCATGTAGCCCAGACTAACTCTGAATCCTTTCCGTCCTTCTGCCTCAGCTTCCCAATGGCTTGGAATTATAGGTGTGTGTGCTGCCATGCTTGGTTTCTTTTCTGGATCAAGTTATTTTCTAGAAAAGTGATTCTGTATAGTGATTGGGATGGGCTGAACAACATACCTCAACCAGTTTCTCAGTAATCTCTTGCAGGTAGTTGATACCGTTTATCAGCTTTTGATGAGAATTATCGGAAGAGCTGAGCATGGTGCTGCACGACTGTAATCTTAGCACTTGGGAGACAGAAGCATGAAGAATGCCACAAATTCTAAACTAGCTTGATCCAGAAAGTGAGTTCTAGGTCAGCAGGGTCACAGAGGGAAGGGGAAAGGAAAGAGGATCAATATGAATTAACAAGATTGTGAAAGGGTTAGACTAACTTTGTAACCTGTATGTCTTCTAAAGCCTATAGTTTTGAGTTTTAGGTTCAGGTTAAGCTAAAGCCTCTTAGTACCTTTCCAGAGAATGGAAAAATGTGACCCTATCTATGGGGACAGATAGAAAAAAAGGCAAGCAAGCAATGACCTTCACTCAGCAAAAAGAAAAACTCCTGTCTTTGAGATAGCATTTCTTACCAATGAACCCAGACTTCTGAGTAGCTTTTGACCTCCAGCCAAAAGTCTGTAGCCCCTAATCTTCAAGGATGAGCTAACCACCCCCCACCTTCGATTGCAGCTGCATCCACACTTGGCAGGACTGGCCAAGCTTGAGCACCTAAGACTAACCAATTATCTTACTTTATAGCTTCCTCACCCAATCCTAAATTGCCAAGACTGCAACTTCAAATCTCCCGCAATTTTTCTTTTAAAAACCTAAAGGCCTTTGTCTCCCGGGGCCGCTCTTTGCTGACCGGCAGGGGTGACCCCATTGCGCAATGGTTAATAAACCTCTTGCTTTTGCAACGCGTCTTGGTCTGGGGGAGTTTCTGGGAAGGGCGCGGTCTTGAACTCCTGAGCTGTGAGACCCCAGGTCTTACAATTGCAGATGTAGCTCAGTTGGCAGGTGCTTTCCCAGCATACGTGAAGAGCTAGTTTTGATCCCTGACACCTCATAACCTGGATGTGGTGGCGCACACCTGTAAGCACCGCACTTTTGTCGTGCAGGAGTTGGAGCCAAGAAGATCGGGGGGTTTAAGGCCATCATTGCCTACTGACCAAGCTGGAGGCTAGCCTGGGCTCATGAGTCCTCCCCAAGAGAGAGAGAGACAGAGACAGAGAGAGAGAGAGACACACAGACAGAGAGAGAGAGAGAGACGGAGAAAGACAAACAGAAACACAGAGAGGGACAGAAAGAGACTCTGCAGAGGAAATAAAATACCTTTGTCATCCTGATAACAGATCAAATGGTTAATGCAGATTTAATGTTTACAGAATTCCAAAGTTGTGTTCTTCCATTTGATAAACTGTCAAAAACCTCAGAATGCCCAAAGAACTCCAAAAAGAATGTAACTAAGAATAAGAATGACACATGCTTAAATATTTTTTAAGATAATAAGTTCTATGCAATTGAGTTTATCACAATAAAAAAAAAGCTCTGTCCCCGTGTGAAAAAGTGGCTCGGCGGGTGACGTGCTTGCCGTGTAAGCGTGGGGACTGGAGCTCCAGCCGCCAGCACCCATGTACACAGCTGAGTGCAGTGACAAAAATGTAGCACTGAGGCGGTAATGGAGACAGGCAGATTCTGGGGGCTCACTGGCCAGAATCCAGCAGAAATGGTGAGCCCCAGGTTTGCCGAGAGACCCTGCCTCAAAAAGCAAGACAGGAGTGATTGAGGAAGATGCCCTAATAGCAACCTCTATGCTCCGCACCCACCAGCATGGGCGAGAACACCTGAGTGCACTCACACATGTGCACACTTGCATGCACAGCACACATACATGCACACAACAAAACATGATACCACCACAACTTTCCAGCATAGTTATGTGTGTCTTTAGTGTAGTGGATGAGCTCAGGGATTTGCAGGAGTGATCTAAAAGTGTGCCTGAGGAGTTCTAAACTTCTCAGAGGTTCTTCGTGCTGGGGGCAGAGGCAGTGTTGCTTGTATTCCCTGCAATTGCTATCCTCCAAGTCTGGTATCTCACAATCAAAAACCTAATCTCTTGGCCTGGAGAGATGGCTTAGTGGTTAAGAGCACTGGCTGTTCTTCCAAAGGTCCGGAGTTCAATTCCCAGCCACCACATCATGGCTCACAACCATCTATAAGGAGGTCTGGTGCCCTCTTCTGGTGTGCAGGTGAATATGCAGGCAGAACATTGTATACAAAATAAATCTTAAAAACAAACAAGCAAACCCAATCTCAGTTTCAGTCACCCCAAACTCAGATGCTTACTGCCTGGAGGGCCCTTAGGAACCAGGCCAATTTTTCCCCCCTCTCTTCTGGTGTCTTGGCTGTTTTAAGCCAAGTGGGAGTAGCAAAGAGCCACTAATAATAGGGTAGCTACTTTTAACTAGCAAACATCTGGGAAAGAGAAAACATGGGAAGAAAAACCATCCTGTGATTTTAAAGGCTTTTACTGGTCAGAATTCAAAAGATGTTAAAATTTCCATCTGCTAAGAATGTAGTAGATAAAAGCAAGTACTGTAATTTTGATAACTATGGAAAGCAGTTTTCGAAGAGTTGTTTAGAAAACGTAGACATTTCATGGCCGAAACCCTCTGGAACTTTTTCGTTTCCTTTTTCTTCCTGTATCCAGGTCATACTCACTGTAGTCTGATGGGGAAGAGAATCCAGAGACGCTGGAGGCGTTTCTGTTCACGAAGGAATCATGCAACCGCAAGTCCTTTGCGGAAAGCAGCTCCTGGCAGACATTCCAGGACCACGTGTAGGTGGAAAAGGTGTTGTAAAAGGACTCATTGTTGGTGTCGACTCCAACTAAATCCCCTCGGATCTTCTTCCAGAGATTTAGCATTTCTTTCCGGTGCTCAAGGGCAATTCCTAAGTTATAGGTGTCTGTGGCTCTCTTTACCTGCAGGGTAGGGGCAGATAGTTGCTTACTGTAGTTATAACTATTGATTTATGAACCATAATTATGGGTGGCTTGAGAGTGAAAACCAGTAGGGCTACTCATGGGGTAGCATGGGACTTATGAGCTGGAAGTTGATGGAAATCAAAATGTATCACTTGAAAGCTGGATATGGTGGCACACACCTTTAATTCTGGTACTCAGAAGGCAGAGGCAGGTGGATTTTTGAGTTGGAAGGCCAGCCTGGTCTACACAGTGAGTTCCAGGACAGCAAGAGCTACATAATGAGACCTTGTCTTGAAAAAACAAAACAAAACAAACAGTACCATGTGAGAACAATGAAAAAAAAAATGTAATTTTTAGACAAAGTCTCACTCTATAACTCTGGCTGGCCTGGAATTTGCAGAGATCCTTCTGCTTCTGTCTCCTGAGTGCTGAGATAAAATGATTTTATAAAACTACTGGAAATGTAATGGACTAAGTTAGGGAGAAGTGTGAGGTTCAGTTAGGATGTATAGGTACCTGATTCAGCGTAAGACAGGGAGAGCCAGCTGAGAGAAGATGATGAGCTGAGCAAATCCTTAAGGATTTTTAAGGCTAAAGGATGGAGGGGTGGTGGGAAAAAGTCCCAGGAGGAAGAGGCCAGAAAAATCAGAGCTTAAAGACTGAACATTCTGGATTCAGCGGGAGGGTCAGAGCAGATGGCATTACCAGAGTGTCCAGGTTAAAGTAAGGGGGAAGTGACCAAGGAGTAATTCCGAAGGTCAGTGAGTCCACTGTGATGGAGGAGAGCCCTTTATGAAAAGCACACTGTGGGAGCTGTTTTCTGAGGGAAGTGAGAGAAATCCCTCAGTTGTGTGGAGTGGAATACTGGAAGGGCAGTCTCAATAACCCAGGCTGGTCTTGCATTTCCTACGCAGCCAAGGCTGCTCTCCAACTTGTAATCCTCCTGCCTCTGTCTTTGGGTGCTGCTTGGAGGCATATACCACACCATCCTTCCTAGCCACCAGAACTGGGAATTGAACCAAGGGCCTTGCCTGTGTTAGGCTCTACGCTACCACCAAGCTATAGCTTCAGCTCAAGCATTTATGATGTCAGACCATCAGCTGTGTGGAAAATGGCTGATGGGAAAAAGCTGCAGAGCCAAGGACACTGGATCTGAGGCTGTTGTTCAGGCAACTTTTATGGAAGGAGAGAGCGGGGATAGAGTGATAAGAGTGTAGAAGAACAGACTTGGGGAGCATCCCAGAATGAGTTGGATTAGATTTGGTGACTGGTGGAGGTAAGGAGTAAGAAAACGTGCACACACACACACATACACAACACCCCCCCCCCCCAAATGTTAACTCCAATGACTGAGTAGATGGTATCAGCATCCTCAGGGGAGAACCAGGTTGATGTAGGGGAAACATTTATTAGGTGGTGAGTGAGGTAAGACCAGCATACAGAAAAGAAGTCCAGGTGAGGGCAAATTAGTTATTATAAATAGGTGGCTACTGGTAAACAAAGAGTGAACTCGCCCACGTGCTCACCCTAGCTCTCTTTATCTGACAGAGACCCCTGCTAAGCTTCTATGACTGAGTTGTAGGGAGACTAAACGAACAATCTTTTCACACTGGGGTCAGTGCTGGTACCTGTGGTCTCTGGCCACATTCACTTGCATGACCATGTGCTAACAATGAGATAGGACTCAGCTGCCCCCTGCTCTGAGTTCTGATACCCCACACACCCCAGCATTGTTACTCTCCACTCCCTTCTCCTTGACTTTACCCTCACCCCAAGCTCTCGGGGAGCAGGAACTGTTCTTTTCTCTCTACTGTGTCTCCTAATCTCAGAACCCATGGATACACATTTGCCAGTGAGTGTGTGAGTGTGTGCTATGAGAAGATGGGCAGTGTGGAGTAGAAAGCTGGGAGTAGAAGCCTCGGGAGCGTGATGATTACTGTCAAAGAAAGAAAGATACCCAAGGAGCCTAACAGCTGAGGCTGACCTCCGGCACACGCATGCTCACACACTTGTACACACATTCATGAAAAGATGGACAGAGGGGCTCCAGAACACATACTTTTAACCTCCATTTTTACTAACTGTCTACTTTTGTAGCCTAACTTCTTTGCCCCACATATAAGGACTAGGACATATTTCCTCCATACCACCTCCCTTCTGTATCGGACACTAAGCATCATGCTCTCGAGGCTTCTACTCCCTGAACTTTTCCACACTACACCTTCAGTCCTTGTAGGTCTGTGACTTTTCCTCTCCTCTTTCCTGAACCTCTCTTGTAATGCTATCTCCCACGAGTCCTGGGCATGAGTCCTCATCTTGTCTCACTATTAATCAGAGTGGAGTTTTTTGTGTGTTTTTGGAGACCGAGTCTTCCCAGCAGAAAATACTTTTGACAGTGCAGTCTGGGCAAGGCGTTTGGCAGTGAGCACTCACATGCTGTTTGATAGCAGCCGCATCAGACACTGTCCAGTGCTGCTTTTTCTTGAAGAGGTGGTCAATGGCTAAGATGTCATCTGAATAGCTCGAGGCAGACTTAATAGGTTTCACATTTGCGGCCTTTGTACGCATAAAAAAGAAATTAGTAATACATTTCAGTTTGAATTACATAACGAAGACATAATTATGCATACGTGTAAAATGTCACAGCGAAACCCCTTACTGTGTATGCTAACTTTAGACATTAATATAGAAAGACATGATAATGGGGGTCTGAAGTTGGGCATAACGATGCATGCATGCCTGCAATGCCAGCTCTCAGGAATTTTCCAGCAAGAAAATGATGTGAGTTCCAGGCCAGCCTCGGGCTACAGCATGACACTTTCACAAAAACAAAACCAGGATTTGTTTGTGATAGGATTTGTATATGATTTATGAGGTCGTCGCTAAACTATTTGTCCGTTGCACTGGAGTACCTAGCATGGAACACGTGTAACCAGGCATTTAGTAAATCCACTGAAATAATAATAATGGAGCCTGCTTATAAAACAAACGCTGACCAGATGGCTCATGTGCAGAGCGGATAAGGAGGGCAGAGAGGAAGCAACTCCATCCTGACCCAGACTTCCCAAACTACTGTAAAAAACTAAAGAGGAAGGTGCCCTCCCAGAGGGCAACCTCTGTTCCTTCCAGACTTCCACAGGAAGCAGCGCTTGTTTTTCCTGTTGCTGGGCTGCTGAACAATGCTAGAAGAAGTGAGGTTAATGTCCTGCTCAATTTCTTTGGACTCATTGCTAATCTACTTGGCATTCATTCCTTCTCTTCATTATTACTCCAAGAGGCTGCCGGAAAGCCAGCCTCCAAACTGCCAGCTGCTGAGCTGCTCTCTCAAGCCTACCTAGTATGAATTCTCTTAACTCTTCTCTCTTTAGTGATTTCTCCATCCTTTAACCCATCATTTTCCTCCTCTGTGAATCTTTTCTGATTTCCAGGGCCAAAGTTTCCCCTGTGTTCTTTATATAGTTTGCTTGGGGATTTCTTTAACGTTTGTTTTGAAATTGCACTGATTGATATTGATTAGTTGTGCGCATGTCTGTGTGTCTGTCTCCGTGCCACGGCTCTCATGCAGAAGCCAGAGGAATGATGTTAGTTCTCTCTGTTTTTTTTTTTTTTTTTTTTGAGAAGGGGTTTTTTTTGTATCCCTGGCTATCCTGGACTCACTCTGTAGACCTGGCTAAAATCAACCAGACCCCACAGAAATCAGCCTGCCCCTGCCTCCAGAATGCTGGAATTAAAAGGCTTGCTGTACCACTGTCTGGCAAGTTGTCTTTGAACTTGTGATCTCTTTGCCTCTTTTTCCTGGGTGGTGGTATTATTTTTTTCTCTGAGTTATTTGAGAAGCTCAGTTGAAGGGTTTCAAGTTGATTTTAAGAGAGCTGTTTTGGTTGCTATTCATATACTGTGAATATATCAAGAAGGAACAAAGCAGAAGCAAGAAGTCTATTTAGGAAGTTTTTTTGTTTTTTTATTTGATTTTCCACAAAGGGGATGGAGCTCAGTGGTGAAACACATACTTATTATGTGGGTTCCATTTCCAATACAAAACCACACAGGAACAAGCAAGAATATGAAGTCTGCTATAAGCCAGGCTCTGCCTTGTTTGTTTGTTTGTTTCTTTGTTTTTTTTTTTTTTTTGCATATTTTCCTACTACAAATTTTTTTTTATTTTATTTTATTTTTTCTGAAATATATTTATTATTTTTTTCTTTTTAGTTACATTTTGTTAACTCTGTGTGTTTCTTTGTTTTAAGACAAGAGTCTTATTGTATAGCCTGGCTGGCCTGGAACTTATTATGTAGCCTAGGTTGTCCTTGAACTTATGCTAGTTTTCCTGCCTCATCCTCTTGATGCTGACATCACAGGTGTGAAAGTGCCATGCCTGGAGACCAGGCTCTGTACCAGGTAAATTTCAGTCTTGCTGCTCCACTGGGAGGCTTACCACAAACTTGGGGGTAAGGCCAGAACGTTCTCAGAGTATTTGGAAGCATGAGCATACATGGGCACACTGGGACTTTATGATTCGTGATAGTAAAGCATATATAGGCAAGTAGACTAGAGGCAGCAGAGTGTGATGCAGGGATCATAGGAAAGGCTCTGGTGGGAGACAGGATGGTCCCTCCGTCTATCAGAGCATCGCTCCATTGACGTGGTCCTGGTCCTCCCATGTTGATGGGAGAGAATGGAAGTAGATTTGGGACCTTTTAGTGTTCTGTTTTTTTTTTTTTTTTTTTTTTTTTTTTTTTTTTTTTTTTTTTTTTTTAGACAGGATGATGTTACTCTGTAGCTCAAACATGCCTGAAACTCACTATGTAGCCCAGGCTAACCTTGAACTCTTTGCCTTAGCTTCCTAAATGTTGGAATTACAGGAATGAACCATCATGTTTGGGTTGCTATTATTCTTGTATTCCTCATCTCAACCCCAAACCTAGGTCTGTCATTTTCAGTAAATCAAAGTGTTTTATTGAAATAGTTATACCTAAGTTCAAAGTCCTTGTTGGCTACAGAGCAAATTTGAGGCCAGTCTGGGCTACATGAGACCCTTGTCTCAAAAACTCCCAGTCCAAACCCAAACAAACACCTCAAAACAACAACAATAATCCCCCGAGACACTGCCCAGTGTCTATAATGAGAACTCTCTCAAGCTCACTGAGCTGGGATCTTACAAATGGAAATATTTAAATCAGCTTTCATGACAGATTAAATCTCACCTGTGTTTTCCAGTCTCTTTTATTGAAAAAATAGTCCTCAAAGAAAGACAGAGGCTCCTTTTTCCTTAGCGTTTCTAACTTTTGCATGTCTTTAAATGGCTTGCCCATCACCACCCCGTCCACATCAGGGAACAGTGGAAAGACAGGTATTTTTGAGTACGGGCTATCTGAAGGGTGATCACACCCTAAAAAGAGAAACAAAAATGGCATCATCAGTAATGTAAAAATTACAAATAATGACAAGCACGCAGCGCCTAGTGTGTTGTTTCCCCTGCGCCCCACCCCGTGGCCCTAGCTTCTCTGCCCCGTCTCATGCTCCCAGTCCACAGCCGTCCACAGACTTAACCCCAGTGTCTGAGGGCTCAGTCAGCAGACCTCTGCTTCCACATGGTGTCTGTGTGACAGGGAGCATTTTCCTCCCAAGAGCCTCGGCCCTGCTCTTGGCCACCAGTGTTTACTTCTGACCAGCTCTAGCTGTGTGGATGTCAGTCTGTAACAGTGGAGAGGGAAAATGGCTCTTACGCTTGAGCTCTTCGAGAAACTTGTACAAATCCCTTTCTTTCATTATTGAGACCCTGGCAGAATTGGCGAAGGCAGCGGTGCTTGAGCGTGGAGGAGTGCATAAGTCTGACTTAAAGCCCCTTTTCCCATATGGAGTCCACATTATTTCTGAGCTGCTTTCCTGGAACTTTTTTCGGAAATAGCTTAAAAAGAAAATACAAGTAATTCAGAGATGGATATAAAGAACTATTAGAACTAAAAGAAGGAAGTCAAATGCAAGTTAATAGATATTAGGTTTATTTTAAATATATTAACAATTTTATTAGCATTTATTGATCATACATAATAATAATAATAATAATAATAATAATAATAATAATAATAATAAT